CTTCTTCCAGTAGCATCTATTTGTAGAACTCAAGATTGAAAAGCAGTGAAAAAACTTATTCACTTCCCTAGTTTCAGATCTCTGGCTCAAATAAAACAGCCCTAATTCTAATGCACCCTGAATTATATCTCCATATTTATTCAGTGCTTTTTTAAACAATCCCACACGGCAGCGCCGCGAGCAGAGCGTACGTGTATTCTGAAGTGAAGGCATCGGTGATGCGGAAACGCAGCGTGTCATTCACAGAGCGTCTGGGAAATTCACCCTCTCTAAGCAACGACTTTTGAATATGACATGTTTTTAATGTCATGCAAATTCTGGTCAGAATCCTCTAAAAAAAGCCACGTTAGCATGAAACATAATTACATCTTTGAGTGTTCTACTTAACTTGAGAGGCTTCTTTGGACTGTGAAGCACTACGTATCAATCCATACATGTACGCATATAGAATCATAGAACCATTTAGGTTGGAAAAGACCTTTAAGATCGAGTCCAACCACAAACCTAACGGTGCCAAGTCCACCACTAGACCATGTCCCTAAGCACCACATCGACACATCTTTTTAATACCTCCAAGAAGGTATGTATTTATACAGAATCACAGAATCACAGAATAGTAGGGGTTGGAAGGGACCTCTGTGGGTCATCTAGTCCAACCCCCCCGCCGAAGCAGGGTCACCTACAGCAGGCTGCACAGGACGTTGTCCAGGTGGGTCTTGAATATCTCGAGAGAGGGAGACTCCACAACCTCCCTGGGCAGCCTGTTCCAGTGCTCCGTCACCCTCAGAGGGAAGAAGTTCTTCCTCATGTTCAGGTGGAACTTCCTGTGCTTCAGTTTGTGCCCATTGCCCCTTGTCCTGTCACTGGGCACCACTGAAAAGAGCTTGGCCCCATCCTCCTGACACCCACCCTTCAGATATTTGTAGGCATTTATAAGGTCCCCTTGCAGCCTTCTCTTCTTCAGGCTGAACAAGCCCAGCTCCCTCAGCCTCTCCTCGTAGTGGAGATGTTCCAGTCCCCTCACCATCCTTGTAGCCCTCCGCTGGACTCTCTCCAGTAGCTCTTCATCCTTCTTGAACTGGGGAGCCCAGAACTGGACACAGTACTCCAGATGAGGCCTCACCAGGGCCGTGTAGAGGGGAAGGAGAACCTCCCTTGTCCTGCTGGCCACACTCTTCTTGATGCACCCCAGGATCCCATTGGCTTTCTTGGCAGGCAGGGCACACTGCTGGCTCATGGTTAACCTGTCGTCCACCAGGACACCCAGGTCCCTCTCTGCAGAGCTGCTCTCCAGCAGGTCCACCCCAAGCCTGTACTGGTGCATGAGGTTGTTCCTCCCCAGGCGCAGGACCCTGCATTTGGCTTTGTTGAACCTCATCAGGTTCCTCTCTGCCCAGCTCTCCAGCCTATCCAGGTCACGCTGAATGGCAGCACAGCCTTCTGGTGTATCCACTGCTCCTCCCAGTTTGGTGTCATCAGCAGACTTGCTGAGGGTACACTCTAACTCTTCATCCAGGTCGTTGATGAAGAAGTTAAACAAGACTGGGCCCAGTACTGACCCCTGAGGGACACCACTTGTTACCAGCCTCCAACTAGACTCAGCGCCGCTGATGACAACCCTCTGAGCTCTGCCATTCAGCCAGTTCTCAATCCACTTCACCGACCACTCATCCAGCCCACACTTCCTCAGCTTCCCTAGGAAATATATACATAGATATGTATTTGAATAAATACACAAATATAAACATAACATTCAGATTAAGTCATTCAGTTACCTGTTCAACCTTTATGTCATATTCTCCATGGACCTTTTTCCCACGAAAAGCCTTGGCCCTGCAGGAAAAAAACAGGAGAGAGAAAATCAAAGATCCATGTATCTGTAATCAGTAGCTACGTAACGGCTTCCCGTACCGCCTTCAGTGTCTTGAAAATATGTGTATGTACCAACCTATGGTACCTACTGTACCTGTCACACATACACAGTTCTCTTACCTTCGACATCCTTGTGTCCCCAACATCCCATCACACAGGATTTTGTGATAAAAAGCATCATGTGGTTTTCAACATTGAAGTGTATACTAAAGTATACTGAAATACGTATTTCACAATTATTAATATAAAATGAGTACCACTAAAAAGATGCACTCTTGCTCTTGTTTAAGTCAACAACACCAGTGGAAATTCCCTGCAATGTGAACAACGTCCTAACAACCACTCCTGTTCGTCTCTATCCACTCGGTTTATTTAGGAACACTGGTTTAGGGGAATTGCTATGCTGAGAAACTTTGTATTGTCTTAAAGAAAGTATCAGAGGTACTGGAGACTGTTGTCACCAAATCTGTGAGTGCCTGATTTACTGATCAGTTTGGCTTTTCCTAGACTATAACTTGAGACAATGTAATTAATCTGAAGCAGAGTTTATGAGTAATTATGATGCATCAGGATTGCTGCCACAAAACAGAACTGAATCCAATGATCCAGTCTCTCAGGCCTAAGGAGCAGACATTCTTCTAGGAATCTGTCAGCTGTATGCCTAAGGCAGCACGTATCTGCTTGGGAGAACATGGGAATTAAAAAAAAAAATAATCTCTTGATAAAAGGGAATACTCTAACACTCTGAAGTTGCAAAAGGCATGTGGTATCTGTCTCTTTACACCTTCTTTGCTCAAGCCAAAGCTTAGAGTACTTTTCCTCAGTTTTATTACATGCAAGCAAAAACTTGTTCCATAATCCAAAACCAGAACACCACAGAACATCTGAAGTGTTAAAAAAAACGCAACCTTGTCCATTTTCAACATCTGACATCTCTTATACTAAACTCTATCTACCTCATCAGTGAAAATAATGTATACTGCCTACTAAAACAACTCATCATTGCTTTTGGAAACGCCCTTTTCCACTGAAGTCCAGAAGAGTTTCACCACTGGTTTCAGCAGTGAAAGAACCAAACTTCATAACAACCAACTGAACACACTGCCTTTGGCGACATATTTCTGAAGCATATCTTAGGCATTATGGATAATGAATGCTAGAAAGCAAAGAGAGTGTTTATACTGAAATGGTGTATTAAAATATTGACCAACAATTAACTCTGTATAAATATGCAATTGTTAAGAAGGTATCAGTGAAGAAAGTATTTGCATTGCTGGTTTACACTGTCCTCTCGTGATAAATACGCATGAAATGGACCCTGTGAGACACCCACAAGAGCCAGGCTAGACGGAGGGTATCACGTTCAAAGACAACACTACATCTGCCTCAGGAGAGAACCAACCAGTTTGTAACAACAGACAAATGTCTCTTTGAAAAACTAAGGTTCACCACTTCAAAAAATATTTAAAACTCCAATTCTGATCCCCATGACTTTAACAGTAATGTTACTGCCAAATTTTACTGGGAACAGGATGAGCTCCTAGATCTTATTTCTGATGCAGCAACAGGTGAGGTCAATGCGTTACTCGACATCACACAACACAAATTCAACTGAAACAGAATTGTGTTGGCTACATAACACAATAAATGTTATAGTGAAGCTGCCTCTTGAACACTGAAAATAAAGCTTAGAGTAACACTCAGTTTCTTCAAAGCTGAACGGTAACTTGACCATATACAGAGATAAAACCTCCCACAACACGTACCCTAACAAATACCAGCAACTAATTGCTTCTTTCAAAGAGGGAATGGAACTAGGAAAAGACAGAGAGTCAAAGAGATGCTCTTCTAGTCTTTACTGCTAAGTCCACTGCACATATTGGAATGTGCTCAAAACATTAGTTAATTATGAATTAGTGAGATGCTATTGCTCTAAATTCAGTCTTTCTACTTAAATATCATTTAGATGAGGCAACCTTTAAACAACTAAACTCTGGCATGATTCACATTTCAACAGATGACTTCAGCTTTGAACATAAACAGTAAGTACTAAAGTTAAACAGTCTGGGGCTTGAAAATAAACATGACATTTAATTATTTAAAGAGACTTAATAACAAAGGAGATTTAACCAACAACTTTTATAAAAATGTATAATATTCAAATTATAATATTAATTATTCAAATTATACATAAAAATGTATAATATTCCAAATGCTGAATCACAAACTGCAAGAATTTATCTTGACATCTCTAAAAAACATCTTCTAGAAATAAGTCACGACTCCGTCATTTCAGCACAAACTCTCAGTGTGAGTTTGCTGTGAAACAGAACCCAGTTTTCGTTTTATTTACTGTCCTTAGGAAACACACTCATGCCCTGCTTGAATTACTTCCCATTTGCAATATGAGGAATGTGCAATCCTATCATAAAGACCTATGTTACATGCTTGAATTAATATTTTTTGTTTACTGAGGGGAGACGGGGAGCAAAATTCTTTGGTGTTACTGATTCACAGAATTCCACTGAATTGGAGTTGGAAATTCCTGCGTCGCCTTCCTGCTCTCAGTTCTAAGCACGGAATCGCTGCCCATCAGCTCCCGGAGCCCCTCCGCAGCAAGGAAGCGACGCTGCCAAGGTCAGGGTCTCCAGGCAGGGCATCTGAGAAGAGCGGGCGGTCAGCTGTCAGCACGAGCGGTTAACGAAACAAATACGCCCCAACTCAAGTAACATTTGGCTGCCCACTGTTGATGATTTCTTCCACTGTATGCAGGGAAGGGAAGGAAGAAAGCGGTACCAGGATTCACCTCGAACTCTCTGTGTAAACAGGTGCTTTCCGAAGCCTACCTGTAGAGAAAACGGACAGCTACTAATGCGAATGCTGCCTACTGGAGTTACTAGTGTGACGTCTTACAGTCAGGCTCTTTCCACAATATGTGAAGTATTTATGCATTTCTTGCTTCACAATTCATTTTCTGGGTAAAAATCTTGCACATTTAAAATTAAACAGAGTGTACAGTTGCCATAGACGCAGCCTAAAAGGAACTCGCACTGCTTACTGAACTTTGGCTAGGACGATGAATGAAACAGTAATTACTAAAAGTGTTTCAAATACATAAAAAAGACCTGAAATATTTCCCTCTGAAACTACAAAGCTCGTACATGCATTTCCACAGTGCTCTGAAACCAACGTGGTTTCGTTTCGTACACATGAACAAAGCATTGTAACTGGTGCTACTTCTGACTGGCAGCAAAACCAACAGGAAAATCATTTGCTAACACGCAACACGTTCCCACTGCTTCAGCTGGCGTTCTTTAACACGGCAACGATGAGCTTATCAGCATCAGTCACTATTCAAAAGCACGCACCCAGCAAAGGTGTGGGGGCCAGCCCTGCCCTGTGTCTGCAGCTCCTGCTCTCACGGCACCGCGCAGCACTTGGACTCCGGTTTCCGTACCAGTAACACCACGTGCACAGGGTTCGGTTCGGCTGAGCACCAACCTCTGGGCATGTCTGAACAGCGAACTGGGAATTGATTACCGATCTTATCAATAAGACTGAATGCTCAAAAATAATTATAGAGCCAGTTTACTACACCAGGGCAACAGTGGGTTGCTCATTTAGAACAGCAGCACCCTCTGGAGCACACACACAGGCTGCCAACACCTACGAACCGCCGGCGTGATCCACTTCAAGCCAGGGAAGGCACATACAGAGAGCAGTCCCAACGACTGGCTCACTGGAATTGCCATCTGCACGTAAAGATCCCGGCAGGCTGCTGCCACAGACCCACTCAGATACCCACCAACTCAGAAAGTGGGGTACACCGGCCCCAGTGACAGAACAGAAAATGGTGATGAGACAGCAAGCCCAGCCTTCAAGTTCAAATCTGGTTAGAAATCACTAATTATTCAATAAAGGAGAGGAAAGGGGAAAGGACAAAAAGGTGAAAGAAAAAGGAAGTAGATTCAATCTCAAAGTTTTTGTACCAGAAAAAACAGGGTTTGTACATGCTGCTCTCATTTCATGCTGAATCAGAAATAGTCACTCTGCCTCCAGCAGTCAGCATTCTCTATTAACTTCATGGAAACATGACTGTGTCCAAGACGTCACCAGCGTTCCATTTGGACTGCTAGGTGATCCAGTAACACAGAGTGCTAAAAAATATGGCACGCTGTCATCACCAGAGAAGACCTCAAGTTGGAAGGGACCCACTGGGACCATCGAGCCCAAGTCCCTGCTCCTCACAGGACTTCCTAAAACTAAACCACAGGACTAAGAGCATCGTCCAGATGCTCCCTGAACTCTGACAGGCCTGGTGCCGTGACCACTGCCCTGGGGTCCAGAGACCGACCAGTGTCCCGTCGCTGGTCACTGGAGAGAGGAGACCAGCACCTCGCCTCCGTTGCTCCCCTTGAGGAAGGGGTAGATGGAGATGGGGTCACCCCTCAGTCTTCTCTTCTCCAAGCTGAACGAGCCAAGTGACCTCAGCGGCCCCGCCTTAGCCCCGCCCTCGAGGCCTTTCACCACCTTGGTGGCCCTCCCCTGGAAACGCTCTCCTAGTTTGGTGCCCTTTGTGTATTGAGGCACCCAAAGCTGCACCCAGTGCTCGAGGCGGGGCTGCACTGGTACAGTGCAGAGTGGGACAACCTCCTGCCCCAACCAGCTGGTGATGCTGGCCTTGATGCACCCCAGGACACGGCTGGCCCTCTGGCCACTCTGGGGACCCTTGTTTCACTGGCCATCAACCCAACCCCCCAGATCTCTTTCTGTGGGGCTGCTCTGCAGCCTCTCGGCCCCCAGTTTGTATGTCTAACCAGGATTACCCTGTCCCACGTAGAGAATTCGGCAATTGCTCTTGTTAAATTTCATACATAATACATCTGGTAACCTCTGTTGTCCCATGAAAAAGTATTGAACAATCTAATGAAATCATATGTATTAGAATTATCACTTCAGTG